TCTGCTTTAAATGCCACACATGCACAAACATACAGATGCAGAGATACATGCACGAACACAGGGAAACCACTCTAAATGACCCTGCCTTACTTCAGATGATATCCCATCCCCTCACTTCTTACCACTACATTAACCACCCCCTCACCTCTTTTTTTTCACCCCCGCCTCGTTCCCCTCTTCTCTCATCCTTCCATCCCAACCTCTCAAACAATTTACATCCAGAGGTTGAGAAGCAGCTGGACAATAAAAGCAGCTTAAAAGGACACACTCCCACAATGTTTATGTTAGCCAGCCCTGAGCAGCAATGAAATTGAACAGTTAAGAGGCCAGTTGCGTCGCTCACCGGCCAGGTGTTCGTGTCTACATTTATCTCTGGCTGTCGCAGTCAAAAGGACTTAAGGACAGTCCGGGGCAGACGTTGTGTACGTCTGCGTGTGTGTGTGTGTGTGTGTGTGTGTGTGTGTCCACGGGACGATGTAGCCCAGAGGCCTGGGTCCGGGGGGCTTTTAAGACACCACTCAATAACGCAGTTTCTCCAAACAAGCTGTTCGGATGATCAGATTAGACATTAAGCGAGGGAGCATGCTCGAGATCAAGGAGGAAAGAGATTCCTCACGTTGAGAGGTCCACCATTCATAACACAGGCCGATGATAAACCATCACTCTACCTGCAGATATAACAAGACCAGAGCTGCGGGGATAGATCCGGATGATGGATGTGCTGTTTGATACAGCTTATAACATTTAGTCAACAGATAACGGAGATATACTTAATGACAGTAAATCATATTATAAAAGCAAGATTGCTTCATTTTCGAAGCTGTACACATTGGCAAATATAAATGTACTGTATCTGTATGTGTAGTTCATGTTCAGACTGAATTCAGACAGATTGGTTAAAAAAAAAAAAGACATGTTAAACAGATGCTGAGCCTGGTATAAAGGCTTGTGGAGAAGTTTCATCCCGTACAGCCACTTCCTCAGGCCTGAATTTGACACGCACACACACACACGCACTTCTGTGGCGGGGGATCCAGCTAAAAATCTCTCCAATCACACATAGTTTCATCTGCACCCCTTTCAACAAGGATTACTTCATGTACACAAGGCCATGCGTTCCAACACGCACACACACAATCAATTGGGGTCTGTGGGTTTGGAGCATCACTTTTTAGGGCTGCAGGGTCTGAGGTTGGCGCTCATCACACGATCACACCCTGCAGAGACTTGAGCCTGTCTGCATAGCATTGATTTAAAATGTGTTTCTTGAGCTAACGGCGCTGGAAATGCTGCGGTTCCTGTAGTGGTGAGTGGTGAGTGGTGAGGGGGGGGGGGGGGGGATGAGATGTTTGCTGTAGCATTCAGACACTATTTGTTCACAGTTTAATGGGATTTAATAAAGAATGTGTTCAGAGTCGTCATTACCAGCAAACACAAACCAAGGTGAGTGCTATGTGGTAGGTGGCTCATTCCCAAACACAGCACCTCCAGACATTACAAACAAATACGTTGGGAATTGAGATGGGACATTTTAAATGAAACCAAATAAAACAGCATCAGGCTGAGACATATCAGCTACATAGCAAATCATTGGCTTGAAGTTGACAATCTCTGCTTGAAACATTAGCACATAAACAACAGATTATCAACAGTGCACTGATACTATGTGGCAAGAAGGTTGGGATTGGTTGAGAGCAGCAGCAGCATCTTCAACAACAGAACCAGAGGGCAGCATGACGTCACATGAATAATAATAAAGCAAGATAGCAGATAACACACATTTACTCCGAAGCTCAAGATTTCACCAAAGCAGCTGGACGACATATGCATGTGAAAGAAAGCCATGTGGAGTGCCAAGTAGCAAATAGTGCAGGGACACAATAACGTGGAAAAAACAACACTCTTGTTCAGCTCCATCCCTAAAGCCAAAATGTTGATGTAACCACAATCTGCATAACACAGAGCCAATAACCGCCCAAAACAACAGCAACAATCTCTCGGCCAAACCCAATCTTTCAAACATGAGCATGCACACATCAAACTACAGCCAAAGGAATACTTAAACCACTGCTAATAGAAATAGAATAGAATAGGATAGAAATTCTATTCTATTCTATTCTATCCATGTCCCCACCGAGCAGAAACAAACAGCACAGGAGACTCCCTTTGCCCCTGATGTGGCGTTTTGAGGCCCACATCTCCATGAAGTCTCCCTTTTGTTGTTTGGAAACACATTATTTATCCATAAAGCGTGGAAAAAAAATGAAACGAGGTAGATTGCTTATGAAATGCTACATAGCGCAGTTCATGCCCGAGTATTGTGATAGCTTAATTAATGGGAAATTTAGCAGAACGGAGTGGGCGGAGCAATGAAGGTTTACATTGACCGCCATTTTTTTTCAACAAGGTGTGTCTGATGTTGCAGCCAGAAGGCTACAAAATGCCCCACGCTCATTATAATCTCCCTTTTAGTGGCGTTACACTGTGTTTTTGTTCGTTTGTTTTGTCCTTTGGTAGAACATCACATCCCCTGATCAAATAGGAAGAAATCTATAAGCTCTGTTTGAGAAACTATATTAGAAGCACTGTGTTGCACGATAGGCTACAATGTATCTAATATTTACAAAATGTAAGCTGCCATATGCACATATTTATGTCTTTTATGTGATGGAATTCTAAAGGTATAATTTTGAGGTACCTTAAATGCTACTCCCCTCCAGAGGTAAATACTTTGTGGGTTGAGATTTTATATACAAAACGTGAACGTGGTCTATAATATACGATGCACTGTTATATATCAAATGACCCACCACTACATGCAGTAAGAAGAATCTAGTTCCATCAACCACCATATGAAATTATGCATTTTGATGTATTGTAAAAAAAAAAAATCCAATCAAATAAATACAGAAAGTACGGCTGAGAGACCAAAGGGCTAAGCAGTGAACTGCTCCGGGGCCTCTGACCCTCAGGATCCCCAAAAGCACCAGGTCGATTGTGTGTCAGTTGGTTTGTGAACATTTTATTAGTTACACTTTTGTTTGGAGGTATACAGTAGCTTACACCACTAAAACAAAATCATCTGAAATTATATGAGCCACAACCCGGGTTCTTGTCTACCAGGGGGGTCTGTATTAAAATGTACATCTGAGGCAAACAAGGGGTGAATAAGAGCCCACAGATCATTCTAGCCCCCTACCAGGTTCATCCACCCATGTCTAAAAGTGGACACTGCATAATAAGTACTTTTACTTGTCATACTGTAGTACATTGCTGATTACACTTCTGTGCTTGTACTTTGATATGTGGTATCTTTACTTTGAAAGTAAAATAATCTGAAGGCTTCATCTGCAACTGCCTATTTTCTTCTCACACCACGTGTACATGCACGCTCAATGACCTTATCAAACATGGAATCCACATAGTAAGTCTCATCATCAAAAAGATTAAAAAAGGATTCACCCAGCAAAGCAGACTGTCGTCATGAATAATTCAATATTCTCCATGTCAAATTGCATGCAAGGCCAGGCAAAACAAACAGTGTTTTTTATTTTCCAGGGAGGACAGACTCTCCCTGAGGAGAGGAGGGATGGAGGCTTATTGTGGCTGGAACATGCTGGCTGTCCTTCAGCACTCTGGGTAAATACTGGCGGTGTGACAATAGACTCAGCTTGAGCTGAGGAGGCTGTCACCTTAGCGCTTATCAGGCCGTGGATCTCTCACACACACACACACACACACACACACACACCACAAAGACACACATGACCTGTGTCCAACCTGAGACCCTCCACATATATCATTAGACATAAACATCTGCAAGAAGTGCATTTTATGAATATAAAGAAAAAAATGTTTAACTCATGCAGGTAACAATTCAGACGGATGATGCACCAAAAATAAGTCATTCCTCAACCCACTCTTTCATCACTATCGCAGCCTCTGTTGTGGGAGTGACAGTTCTCTTTAGAGCTCCTCCAGTCTGAGAGCAGATAACAGCCTGTCTGAGTGCTACTTGTTACAGGATGAAGCCACCCTCATCGCGCACACATGCAATCCCCATCTTCACGGATCTATCTACCGTCTAATCTCCTCTAGATCTGTAGGGCCCCACTCCCCTTCCAAGTACCTCCAGTTCACTCTCCGCTGATGAATAGCAAATCAAGTGCCGCTTGTAGGTGAAAATGTCACACAAACTGATATTTACATTTCGGTCATTATCACAACCCTCATGACGGACTCATGCGATCCCAACTCTGCTGCACAGGGACACTTTGAGGTTGCAGAGGTGGCTTTCCTAATCAGTATCCCTCATCAAATCAGAGCTATCGTGTTCATCTCGGAATAGAAGAAATGCTCTTTGCATGACACCAGCGGAAGGACGATAAAAATAAACCTACTTTCTAGCTGCGTTTCAATGGCTTAATGTGAAGCTTTTCAATTAGACGTATCATTTTGAAGAAAATGCAGTTGTAATGTTATCTTGAGCTCTTCAGCTGCATTTATTTTACATTTCAGCGTGCTAACAATTTGTAAACAGCAATATGGCACTCTACAGAAGAAACATTATCAGCCATCTTTTATTTTTCCTTTCTACAGTTCAGATAAGTGAAGCCAATGCACCTGCACTTTTTTCATCTTTAACACCCTATCAGTTGCCTCAACTGTCTTTTAAACCTCAATCATCAAAGTGCTGATTGCCAGATTTTTGATACAGCTAAAATTCTTTTGCACAAAGTGTTCACATTATTTGGCGTACCCTCTGTAAAGCATGCGTACGAGTGTGGATACAACTCCTTCCCCTCAATGATCCTTCATCCAGGGAATGCAAATATTTGAGTTTTCAACCCCCAGCGTACAAAATCGTGCAGGTAGCATTACCATCGAAGCTGTGGTAGACTTCGGCGGGAAAACCTTGCAGATCAACTTGTTCATTATAAAAGGAATTCATTTGCACCTTTACGAGTGTGTCGGGGAAAGAATGACAGCCACAGGCAACATCTAGTGTAAATACAGGTTTATTAGGGATGAAGTTGTTCCATGATAAACAAAAGGGGAAAAACATTCACAGTACATTTCATCTCCCTTACACGGTGCATTGAAACATTGTACAACCTCAAAACCCCATTGTTGCTCTGCACAAATATGGTGCCTCTTTACAAAAATACTTCCTTAAGAAGAAAATACCGGTAAGGGTTGGCAAAACTATTAATATTCTCTTTCTCCATTAACTTGATTAACACCTCGAAAATGGCAACGAGCTACAAAAAATATTACGCAAAATCCCAATTTAATAGTCCCTAAAGAATGTATTTGTGTAAATGAACCCCTCATGAGCGCTAATGACATCTGCAGCTCTACACTTGCACAACACACAGTAAACTAGCCAGCCGAAAGCTGAGGTCTGATGGTTAAAAACGCAACGAGAACACAAAACAGGAGGCAACTGGTCAAGTTTAGGATACATGAGAGCTGACCGGTTGAACTCGGGTGCGTGGATGGAAAACGACCGGTCCGTCTGACATCCTGTGGTAGATTTAGTCAAACGTGATTGGTCAGATCAGGGTCCTCTGTAAAGTTATTGGTCTTCTTAAGGAGAGGTAGGATAGTTGTCATGGTCAGTGTATCAGGGTCCCAGGATGAAACTATAACAACTTCTTACAGCACTTGTATCGAGTTTAAAAGTAATGACTGACCTAATGACATATTGTTCTTCAAACCGTGCACCAGGAAAACTTCTCACCAATTCATCTACTGTATCATTAACCATCAAAACTGTGAAAAGTAATAAAAAGGATGGCAGCGAACCAACCATGTTTAAAAATCAAAACTTCATGGACCAACTTTCTGGTGTTTTTAGTTATGATAGTTCGGTGTCGAGGGGGAGCTACTGACATTGTGTCAGCGATCTTTATATTTGTGCCGTAGATTCTATCCAGATTGAGAGTAAAAGGGGACATTTAGGCCTGAGTTTATGTTTAAGGAAAATGAAAAGGACAATTTCAATTTAGAAATGCTTAATAACAATGTTGAACAATCCATGCATTCTGAAATGTGGCAAACAATTGAATGAATCAAGTGCAATGTTGCTTTAGACCCTTTGCTCAACAGTCAGGTTAACATCTGGCCCTAGTTTACAAACAGTGATCCTTCATTTCCCGCTAGACAAATAATGAGGACACACACATTGGAGTGGATGGAGCCACATACACTGCAAAAAAACAAAACGCTTCTTTACCGTAAAAGGCCAAAGGCTTGCATCACATGTACTGTAACATCAGAACCACACAGGATGATGTGATGCACCTGGTTCAAAAAAAAAAATCATTGAATCCATTCAGCTACCAGAGATACACTAGTGCTTGTTTGTAGGAGTGGTACAGTCTTTCCTAGCATTACATCACTTCTGTGGTGTCATGGTTAAAAAGATCCATTTGGTTTATTGCATTAAGTGCTTGATAGAAGCGGTTTGAATGGCTCTTTAATCTTTTTGAATCCGCGTGTGACTGCTGCACTAGAAGCATAGGTGGAGGTCAAGACACAAGCATGACTAGATTTCCATCACTGGCTATGGCTTCTAAAACGTGATTTTCTCGGTTTATGATAATTATTGGACCGAATACAAAAATCATTTAGCACCGTATAAAACTGGAACTGAAAGAACTTTACAAAAATGTTGCACTATTCTGCTTTTTACTTGAGACATTAGCCTTTCAGCAAATAGACCTGATAGATCTGTATATAAAAGGGAACGCCAAATTGCCTTACGATAATAAAAGAAAATTGGAGAAAATGTGGGAGAGAACAGTTAACAGTGTGGAAAAACATTGGTGCTCAACTCTCTCATATCTCTTCCTTTTGAGTTTCACCTTTACATCTGTGCTTTCGTTCCTTTTTAATTACAATTCATCTAAAATGTTTCAATCAACTATTGACTATCTCCTAAAACATCATAACAGTGAAATTTAACTTGTCTGCATCTACATTTCTGATTGTTGCTTTACATTAATATACGCGTCTATAATGAAGAAGACATTGCCGGTTGCTCCGCAGATTACACAAACCACATGCAAATGGTTGACGCATCCTTCCTTTAATATCTAGAAATAAAAGTCGTGCCTGTGAATCTGTCCGAGTACATTACCACAATAGAAAAACTACAATATCTGCATCGCTTGGCTCCTATTGCACAAGCATGTGTGTCTTTTTACAGCAAACATTGCAATTTATTTTATTCATAGATGATAGGAAGGGTGAGCCAAACACTTTGAAATCATCTTTGCTCAATTGGCTGAGTCACAATCGGACAAAGATCATGTTAATGTGGAGATATTTTTTTGGAAAACCATTGCCTCGTCGTCTTCCATGTGGGCTCTTTAGTAGAGGCGTCCGCCTTACTGGCTCTGGGACTCGTGGACCTTGGCTTGCAGGGCGTCACAAGTCTTCTTGGCGTCGCCGAGCAACATCGCAGTGTTGGGCTTGTAGAAGATGGGGTTGTCGACAGCCGCGTATCCCACACCCAGGGAACGCTTCATCACAACCACCTAGATCGGGACGAGATACAGCCATGGGCACTCGTTAGCCTCGATTTGGACGATTAGATGCGAAAATACTGAAGAAGCGTTTAAAAAGAATTTGTGGGGGGGAATTTTCCCCTGATCATTGCCATTCTCTCCTCCTCAACAGCCTCTGTCCATTTGGCTTAGATCTAGAGATAGAGCTGGGATGTTTGCAATTTAAAAAGTCACCCACAGCTGCTGTATTAACATATTCAACAATATTGTTTTCATTAAAAACACTGCTCGTCAATCAGTAGAACTGATTAAATTATAACCTGGAAGTTTGGTTTGGACAACATTAATTCAATGAAGATGTATTTGACTTAAGTCTGACTTCAACATGTGTAAAAGTATGTAAATGTTTGTTAGTGTAGTTTTCTGTAAACCCATTTTTTTTTTTCTTTGTGCGTCTTTATCTGTGCACCTGTATGCGTCTCTGTGTGTGTCCATATTAGCGTGTGGGGTTAAGGTGGAATGTCCACTTTGATTTCCCCAGAGGAAAGTGTGTGGAAACAAGTGGGAGCGCTGTATAAATCCCAGATCTCGGATCGGTGCCAGTGGGATGCTCTGAATGTCGTCATTCCACAGCGACAGAGTCACCCACTAATGGGATCAGCATGGGACTGCACCTGGAACTGTAACAATCTGCCTCTATGTACGTGAGCCCAGAGAGTGTGTGTGTGTGTGTGTGTGTGTGTGCTTTCAAATGGGAGGCCCCTCTACGTGCGTGTAGACTCCAACATTCAGTTGGGGTGGTAAAAAGCAGTCCAGTTGTCGTAAAATCCAGTCGCCTCTATCTTTTTGGGCTTCAGGGCAACCTCATTATCACACATGCATGCACCAGATGTCTCACCTGCTTCGACTTCCAGACCTCCAGCACAGGCATACCCGCGATGATAGAGTTGGGATCTTCCTGGGAGGCCGAGTTGACTGTGTCATTGGCACCGATCACCAGGACCAGGTCCGTTTCTGATCGGTCACCAAACAAATAAATAAATCAGAAAACATATCTCAATCATTTGACGTCGCGTTTACTGGATTCATTTGAACCGGCCTTTGTCTCCATGACGTTATATCTTTTCCAATCTTTCGCTTCTCAACTAAAGTTAACAAGTTGTATCACTGTAGCCTAGCTGTCACTCTGAGGTTGCCGGGCAGACTCCTGGAATTTTTTACCTCCTAATTTGCCATAAAACCACTACTTATCATTTTAATACTTTGCTATGTGAACAAACGAGATAAACATCTTGATGTCTTTGCTTCCAGTCGTTATACTGAGCCAACCGTCTCCTGGCTCCAGCTTCATATTTAACAACACAAATCTTCTCATTAAACTCTCTCTAGTCCTTTAACTCCATATTTTCAAATGCCAACTCTCTAAAAAGCTGCAACAAAATCAAAACATGCTGGGTCACAATCATTCTAGATGAGTCAATTAAGTAATTCATGGCAGGTATAGCATGGACAGTAAAAGACAGAAAGGACTGGATCTTACCAGCGAAGTCTTCATTAATCTCCTCCATTTCCAGGACAATGTCGTACGGGACACCAGCTTCAGCCAACAGCACGTTGAGCTGACCTGGCATACGGCCGGCCACAGGGTGAATACCAAACCTGTGAAAACAAAATTGAATGAGTAATTTAAAACAGTCACTGCGCTACATTAACTATAACCTGACTTTCTTAAATCAAGGGAGATGCGATCAAAATTAATCGAGATGGGCAGAGAAAGAGAATGAGATGGAGGTTCTGTACAAGTAGGGTAGAGAGACGTTTGTGATTATAGTCTGGTTACACACACACTTCCCATTGTAATCCTCGACTATGTGTTATTTGTCGAGCGTGTACGCATGTGTGTGACTGGGTATACATACGTAGCTCTCAAACTCAATTAGCCATGTCATGTAATCTGGGTACTAAATTAACACCAGCCACTGAATCCCGGCGGCTGGATCTCTCTCTCTCTCTCTCTCTCTGACCGACCACCATTTGGAGATTTATTTTTAGTTTTTTTGGGGTGAGTTTAGGGCAGATTCAGAGTGCAGTTGGCAGACGTTTCTGGGATCTATTAGCGACCACGGCTGCCGATTGAAAAGTCATTTTCTGCCCTTCATGTAATGCCATTCAGACTACATGTATTAGAGGACAGTGGGAAGACGCACAGGTTTTAGTTTTGCGAAAAGAAGCGAAAGTGTGCTGCGCTTCCAGACTCCATAGTGTCAATATTCTGTCGTGTTAAAGGAATAAAACGGCAGATGGTTCTTCCAGACTGACGGAGAGGTGTAGAGCGATTACGCAGGCAGGTATGAAGAGTAAGAACACCATAATTCAAGAGAACGCATTTGAATACAGAACAGAGAAAACTAGGAGAGGAGGAGTAAGACATCAGGGCAAAGGCTTGTTGTGTGACCACCCACTTTCCACTAATCAACTACAAATGCTCTAAGTAGCAGCAGCTGCAACAGCCAGGATCAAACAACTGAGGCAGGACAATTACACATGCTGTACCTCGTCCTTCCTCTCCTTTCTTTCACATTTCCTTTTCCTCATTCTTTCTTCGCACACAGGTCTCTTCCTATCTGTCCTGCCCCATCTTCTTGTCATCAAGCTCAAAACCACAGCTCTTCTTTTATGTCCTCCACGGCTCAGTTTACATCTTGTATTGGGTAAAATTGTTTGACTTTAATTCCTTGCATCCTTAATCTACATGTACATCTATATCTATCTAGCGATCGATCGGTATAAATTACTGTGACTGTAGTGTCTTACACTACTGTTTTTGTTTGCCTGAGATACAATAGTTAGTGGAGTTTCTTTCGATGAATTCAATAAATGTACATCTAATGTGTAGATGAGTTAGTTTTATCACCCGTTTACCTGACGTTCTTGCCAGCTTCTTTAAGCATCTTCACCAACTCAGCAATGGGGTACTGGGCCTTTGCAGCGCAGAGTCCATAACCTGAAAGACAGTTTAAAACGACAGGAAACAATTAGCGGATATTAAAGCACAGTATGGTCTACCTGTCCAAGACAAGTTTTATGACAGTATATATATATATATATATATATATATATATATATATATATTTTTTTTCAAACTCCTTTGCAGCCGTAGTACCCACTAACCTTCACCAACCCAGAAATACAGTAAAATGCTCAACAGCACAGAGTGAGCAAGCATTATAATAATTACAAGTCCCTTTAACCAAACGTTACCACACTAACGATACAAAAGCACAGAGCTTTTGATAAGCAGCACTTATACAAACATAAACAGTCATCTGTGGTAGGCAGCGGTCTGACTGACAGCTGGTGTGGAGGTGGTGACGGTAGAAAGCAACATTCAGATGGACAACCAAGTCTCAAAGCATTTTAGCAAAGATATACCGAGGTGCCTTTGAGTAAAACACTCATTGACCGCCTTCTTTTGCAGCTATAATTTGGTTTAATGATTATGCTATCACTGCTGTGAGAGTTCCAGCAACAGATGATCGGTTGAATGATAGATAAGACAAAAAAGTACCTCACAAATAGATAAGCATTTTAATGAACCATTTCCTATAATTGACACTTTTAAATCATATACCTAATATTAAACATTCAGATCATATATAATCAGGTTACTTTCCTTCTAGTGGACCTGGCATTGATTTCTATACACAGTATATGTTTTTTATTCTCCAAGCCTCAGACTTCTTCGTGTTTAATATTGCTATTATGTGGGACTTGATTTTTATCACCCTGTCACACACACAAACAGTCCAGTGGTGTTTACTAGCCTTGTCACAACAACCAGTCAGAAACTTGTCTTTTTTTACATCACACCAGTCAAACTGACAAGCTTTCAAATTCAGCGTAGAAAAAGGGGGAACAAAATAAACGTGATTGACTGTATGCAGTCCAGCTCAACAATGTAATGGTTTTGTTCTCTCCATCACAGTTCTTCTTTCATTCCTTGTGCTTCCAATATTCTCTGTGGAGTTTCTCCTATAAGAAAAACAAGTGGACCCAGGCCATGCGGAGATGGGCCAGACGAAGCCAGGAAAACACTTATGTTTATCAGGCCGAGTCCTAACAGTTTCCACAGATGTCAATCAGGCAAAGTGACTGTGACGGCTCCAATTAGAGAAACTGGTCAAAATGGAAACAAGGGGTCCGACTGAAGGCCGGCGCTGGAGAACAATACTAGCTGGCTTGCTCACTTCAACGGTAGAGAATAGGATTACTCAACAACTGACTGAAGCACTTCATTCATAAAGTTACTTTGACACGTTCGATGATGATTTCCCCCCCCCCCCACTTATTCGAATCCTGACATTTCACTGGTTTATGTCTTTCTATAATCCTCCGAAGAAATGTCTGGCATTTTGTTATTCGTCTCGTCTTGAATTGTTTGTAGACCTTTTTGAGAACAGGCTACCAAAAAAAATATCCGCTCTTTCATTTCTCCCACTCCTTCCCACTAAACATGTCTTTGGCCTGCTTTTCTTTTCAGCTGTCAGACATGTTTCTCTTCGTCATCCATTGGTCTCAAAGTAAAGTAAAGATGGTTTAATCTATATTGGATGCTGCTACATGGATCACTTCTCAACCATGTGACCACTTTAATTCTTGTAAATTGCAAGGGTTTCCTTTAAAGAGTTATTTTTGGTGTATAGGAACTCAGCAGTATGACTGGAATCACTAATTTGCAGGCTGGATGCCTTTAGTCTGTGTTTACATGTACCCACGTGAGTAAAACAACTCTTGGGAACTTGGAACAGTCTGGTGAGGGGAGTGAGATATCACCGGGGCCAAACAATGAAGGTTTTAGGATGGCAGCCCCAAGGACCATCGTAATAGTCCAAGTGGGAAGTTCAGACACGTAATTATAATCGAATATTGAAAACACGTGAAACGAAGACATGCATGTACCTGGAACAAAGGGTGGACCCCGAGCTCCAACCCCGAAAGAAGAACTAGAAGCCAATTTTCCCCTA